TCTTTCTTATTCAGCCTAACAATTTCTGTCTTTGTATGCTTAGTTAATCACATTTTGTTTAGTTTTTTAAATGGTTGGTATTATCTGTGCCATATTCCTCCTTGTTCTCATTCATATTCTCTTTCCCTCCCCCCTTCCTCCTTCCCCTCCCCCCTTCCTCCTTCCCCTCCCCCTCTCCCTCTCCCTCTCCCTCTCCCTCTCCCTCTCCCTCTCCCTCTCCCTCTCCCTCTCCCTCTCCCTCTCCCTCTCCCTCTCCCTCTCCCTCTCCCTCTCCATCTTCCTCCCCCCCCCCTTTTTTTTGTTCCCCTGTTCTCATTTATTGCCTTCTTTTTAGTTTAACAAATCTTTTTCAGTGTACCATTTTAGGTTCAGTGTTCTTTGGAAACGTGTCTATTCAGGTCCTTTGCCCATTTTTAATGGCTTGTTTGTGGGGTTGGGCTTGGGTTTTTTGTTATTTAAGTTATACAAATTCTTTACATATTTTGCATATTAACCCATTATCAGATATGATTTGCAAATATTTTCTCCCATTTAGTAGGTTGCCTTTTCATTTTGTTGATACTTTCTTTGATATGCAAAAGCTTTTTTGATGGAATCTCGCTTTACTTTTTGCTTTTGACACCTTTGCTTTAGATATCAAATCTAAGAATCATTGCCAAAATCATTGTCAAGAAGCTTATCTCCTATTTTTTCTTCAGAAGCGTTACAATTTTTGTGTTCTTTGAACTTAATGTCTGCTTTGGACTCCTGTCTGCCAAGTCCAACAGTTGTGTCTACCCAGAGTCAGTTTCTACTGACTACTTTAAAGAAACAAAACAACCTGATTATAGGTCTTTTCCTATTGTTTGCACGTTCCACCATTTTTTTTTTTTTTTTTGGACAGTTGGACATTTTAAATAATATATTATGTAGCAATTCTGGGTTCTGATTTTTAAAAATCATCCTGAACATTGCTGTTTGGGGATTTTTCTTTATAATTTTTACTTTTTAGCCTTCTTAGGGGTTGACTCTTTGTCTGCATAGCTTAGTGGTCAGCTGTGTATTGGTTAGAGATTGTGTTCAAACATCTTGAGTTCAGAAAGCTTCCACCATATTTTGATGATCTTGTACATGCATTGCAAAGTACATTCAAAATTCCAGTAGTTCGGCCTCAGCTTTCCACAAGGCCCTCGTAGGTCTCCCCTGCCTTTGTGTGTACAGCTTCTGAGTCTGGTATATGTGGAGATCTTGTTTAGCTCCTTTATGTCTCTCTTACTTCCAAGGTCTCCCTGTTAAATTTCTCAGTGTTCTGCCAGTCTGTCATTTTACCCAGCTGAGCCTGCATCCCCAAGGGTAGCAGAGCTGTGGACTTTTTTACTTTTTCCCTGACAGATTTGCTATTTTTACTGCCATTGCCACTCGAAATAGGCTTTTGCTCTCTTGTTTTAAGTGATGATAGCCCTGTCTAGAAGCAGAATTCCTGGATTTCATGGCTAACCCTGCTCCAGTAAAAACCAACTACTCAAACTGTCTGAGTTGGGTGGTAACATTCCCTGGCAAGAAAGCTACTGGCCCGCACTGTCCTAATTCCAATATCTAGCAGCTTTTCATGAATAAATGCTTTTCAACTTGTTGTTGCATTTGGATGATTTCCAGAGCTCTGAAATTGTTTTTATAATGTTGTCCTTTTTATAGGCGTTTAGGCGGAAATATCTTCATTCAGCCATAGCTGGAAATCTCACCTATTTTTGAACTTTCTAACATGTTAGTCCTTTCCTCCTGTCTTCCAGTCCCACTTTAAATCACTGTAGTCAGGCTTTTGTCACAACCTTATTTTACCAAAATCACTCTTATAAGAATCACCAGCATCTTGTATTTGCCATATCCAAATCTGTTTTCTGTCTTTACCTTAATCTTTCAGTAGCTTTTGAGATGGTAAATGGTTACTACCCTCTTTTGAAAACTTTTTTTTTTTTTTTTTAACTTGGCTTCTAAGATAACATGTTCTTCTGTTTTTCATTCTACTTCATTGACTACTCATTGATACACTACTCCTTATATCTATGACTTTTTTTTCCCCCCTAACTTCTTTCCTAGGTAATAGTTATATCATTGGGTCCCCTTGCTTTATGTCTCCAAAGAACAGTTGGCCCCCAGAAGCCTATTTTCAGCCCCAGCTTCTTCATGCAGTCTCAGTATTAAAGATATATCAGATTATAACATTTTCCTGGTCAAAACGTCATTGGCTTTTCTTTACATTTAGTGTGAAATTTAAATTTAATTTCTTATCATGATTTATGAGTTTATAGGACATATCCCACCCACCTGCCTACTTCTCTGAACTTATCTCCTACCTTTTTCCCTTTACTTAGATGCTACATTACCCTTCATGTTATTTTCTTAAATATGCCAAACCCACCTTTAGGTATTTACATTTGGAGTTTCCTATTTCTATAGTGCAATGCTTTTCTATCTTCACATGATTCTCATCTTCATATCATTCAGATTTGTGTTCAGATTTTACCTCATTTTTGAGGTCTGCTCTGATTTTCTTTATTCTGTCATTCTCTGTCCTCTTTAAGTGAAAATATATTGTTTATTTCTTTCTGTCTTCCATATACTGTAGTAAGTTTGATGGGGGCAGGAACTTTGTTAGTCTTGTTCACTGCAATATCCTTTATATTGTGAATGATGATGCCTGGCACAGAATAGGTGCACTGTATTTGTAGAATAACAGTGTTTTCTATAGAATTGGTATGTCCTTAATGAATTAATAAAGAATAATTCTTTAAAAGTGGCTAGGCTTGGCATAGTTGTATATTTAAATACATTTCAGGCATGTACTTGTTTGCCTAATATTGGCTTGATTAGTATACTCATAAATATTGCTCTATGAATTGTATGTTTTAGATCTTTTAGGGAATTTTAAAATGAGAAAATGTAAGCCTCCTTTTTAAATGAATCTATATTATAAAAACCCAGTGGCCCTAACCCCATAACGACCAAAGAGACTGGGGCCAGTGGGCAGGCTGCGAGCAAGGTGAGGGTGCACGGGTGGGCGGGGCTGCACGATTTCACGCACTGGGCTCCTAGTAGAATATGAAAGAAGAATAAGGGGAGGTGGATATTTAGGTCCATGTAGTTGCTTCACTTATATATATTTTTAAAAGACTTACGTTATCTGGACATTTAATAGTTCACTGTGACATTGGTTAATGAGTGTGGAAAAATAGCTTATTTTAACATAGTTGGTTGGCTATATTAAAAAAAAAGTCAATGTTAGTATTAATATATCATTAGAGGAGTGAACCTCAGCCTACTGGCAGTTCTCCCACAAAACTATGTAGCTAGGTGCGAATTGGCAAAGTATAGATATAGTTTCAGAAATAGCTTCCATTTGGAATGGAAATGGACACAGTTTTTAAATTGGTAATGTTTCCTGTATCCTCTGAAACAGGCAAAATAGTCTGACTTTAGTCATTATCTTTGTTAGAGCGGTTATACTGTACTAAGTTTGATTATTGCTTCAGCTATAAATGTTTTAGAAGAGATAATGATAGGAATGAGAACTTTAAATATCACTCACTGTACACATAAACCCAGCTCTCACAGTCAGTTTAAAGGGACAGAAGAGTCCTGTTGAGTTTCCTGTTTCCTTGAGAGAACAAAGTAGTTTATTGGAAGTCTCTAGAGGGGAGGAACATTCTCTTTCTGCTATCGCCTTCTAGGAACTGGAACCCACTCTGCTCTAGGACAGTTCTGATTATTCAGCTCGTCATCTCCCACTCCCCACCCCCCCCCCTTTTTTTTTTTTTTACTTTTTTTCCTAACCATAATAGCATTTCCCTTCCAGATTTCCAGGCATATATTTTATGTTTATATTCTGTTCTAAATCATTATTTTAACTGTAAATTTTATATGTTCTGTCTACATAACTGGTGCTTTGGTGTTCTTTTCTCTGTTATGTAATTTAGCCTTTATTAACTGATTTCTGACAGCCCAAATATATTGTTAATACATACTCTTCAGATTAATACTGCAAAATTTATGGTGTTAGGAGGTCGTCATATTATTTTTTTATTTTATTGATTTTGTACAGAGAGGAAGGGAGAGAGATAGAGAGTTAGAAACATCGATGAGAGAGTGTCATCGATCAGCTGCCTCTTGCACACCCCCTACTGGCGATATGCCCGCAATGAAGGTACATTCCCTTGACCGGAATCGAACCCGGGACCTTTCAGTCCCCAAGCCGATGCTCTATCCATTGAGCCAAACTGGTCCCGGCAGGAGGTCGTCATATTATTTCATGTTTTCTTTCCATGAAGAATGAGCATAACTTTGAAACTCTCCAACGGGAAATTTACTTGTGTGTTCTATAAATTTAATAGTACGGTACAGTTTGTAGTTTATCATATTTTAACTCTCTAAAACTTAGCAAATAAACTTTTCTTATGGGGTTAATTTTCAGATTTTTCACTGTATCTTAGAAAATAATAAAGATTGTAAGAGTTTTCTTTATACCCAAATTTGTTTGGTGTGAAGTTTGATTTTTATTATAGTTATAAAAATTACAGCAGTATAACTCATTTCAGATAATCTCATATATTAAAAACTAGTGCTTTTCAAGCTTCTTGTGGTAAAGTGCCAATTTTTAAAAATTTTCAATTCATTGAGGACTGATATTTTTGTAAAATACAATACAAATGAATTACTACAAAAGTGAAATTTTAAATACAGAATATAAACTCCACTTTTTATTATAAGGTTAATCATACAAATTATTCTGTCAAATAGCTATAAAAGATTTTAAACATTTACTTTTAATTTAATTTGCCGAGCAGTAGTAAATAGTTTATGGACTGGTAACAAATACTTTACAGGTCAGCACTGATCTATAGACCATACTTTTTGATAAAATACCTATAGCCTATTGCTTGTAATGTTTATTATTTCAGAAATATTAGTCAATATGATGAATAGTGGTTATCTTTTTAAAAATATTTTTTGTGTTTCCTTTATAGAACCGAGAGCTTCAAATCATGAGAAAGCTAGATCACTGTAACATAGTCCGATTGCGTTATTTCTTCTACTCAAGTGGTGAGAAGGTAGGTGTTACAAAAAGTGTGTACTGAATATTGTGATAGATTTGTTATTCTTTTAGAAATAATCCCCCTTACCCAAGTAAAATAGTTTTGCTAATTGAGTGGAAGAATTAAAAATGCAGGCCCTAGTGATTCTGAGCTCAAGATATGTTCATTGATTACATTTATATCAGGAAAATGTTAATGAAAGAAATTAACTTTTAAAAATTTTCTTCCATTTTAAATTTCTGCCTTCAGTTCTAAAGTGAATTTACTTTAAAGTCTTTTATGTTATTTATTACAGTCTCGGTACACGAATTTCATGCACTGGGGGCAGAGGGGGTGGCGGTGGTGGTCGTGGTGGTGGTGTGGTGTGTGTTCCTCAGCCCAGCCTGCACCCTCTCCAATCTGGGACCCATCAGGGGATATCTGACTGCTGGATTAGGCCTGATCTCACATTCCAGGACTGTTGGCTCCAAACTGCTCACCTGCCTGATTGGTCCCAACTGCTTTTGCCTGCCAGCCTGACCACCCCTTAACCACTCCCCTGCCAGCTTGATCGACACCTAACTGCTCCTCTGCCAGCCCGATTGCCCCCAACTGCCCTCTCCTGCTGGCCTAATAGCCCCTAACTGCCCTCTTATGCTGGCCTGGTTACCCACAACTGCCTTCCCCTCATGGCCTGGTTGCCTATAACTGCCCTCCCCTGCCAGCCTGTTCTTCCCTAACTGCCCTTCCCTGCCAGCCTGTTCACCCCCAACTGCTCTCCCCTGATGGTCCGATCACCCATAACTGCCCTCCTCTGCAGGCCCAATCTCCCCCAACTGTCCGTCCCCCCCCCCCCCCCCCCCCGCGCCAGCCATCTTTTGGCAGCCATATTGTGACCACATGGGGGTGGCCATCTTGTCTGAGGATGTGATGGTCAATTTGCATGTTACCTCTTTATTATATATGATAGGATGTGCTTCTGGAGTCCCATGTTAGTTCATCTCTTTATTGGAGGGAAGAAAATGATGTCATTTTGAGAAGTTGAAATATTGGAGGGAAAGGGGAAGGAGGTGGACTTTAGTAGGACCAGAATGACACTTAAACATTAGGAGGCAAGTCTAGCCTCTCCTTGGCTAGAGAATAGTTGGAGAGTGTGTAATATTTCAGAGCTTGTTGTAAGTCAGGGATAGGGAACGTCCGGCCCAAGGGCCATATAAGGCCCACACTATCATTTGCCAAGGCATGAAGGGTGAGTTAATTAAATGTTTGACCAATATACCAAGTTAATTTTTAAATTCATCATTTTGTATAACCCTGGAATGGCATTATAAATATCCAAATAGCCCTTGGCAGAAAAAAGACTCCCCACCCCTATTAAGTGGTCAGTATTTATAGTCACATTTAATTCTGTAAAAGCAAAGGATAATTAATTTTATGCTGTGAATCCCTCCCTCCTCTCTCTTCCCTTGGTCTTTCTCTAGATGTAGTAACTAATGTCATTGTATACACTGGAGTTGGCAGCATAGAAAATCAGTTTCTTCTATTTTACTGTGGTCTTTTCCTATCTGTTCACTGTCCCTTCTTCCCAAATAAGTTGTTTTCTTAAAATTTCCCCCCACTTGTGTGTGTGTGTGTGTGTGTGTATGTGTGTGTGTGTGTATAGGACAAATGACAAACCACTTGATCTTTTTGGCTAAATAAATATGACTTTGGATAAATTTATTTGATATTTTGGATCTTAGATATCATTCATATACTTTTTAAAGTCCTTAACTCCATAAACCTTCTTAATTTCTAGCCCAATATACTTTTTACATCATATACCTATTTCCCAATGTACCCATGTTTAATGATTTTCCATTAAATTTTATTTTATTTCCTTAGAAATTCCTTTTCTTACGATAGAGCCTATAATATGGTATGATACCTGTATCTTTAGTCAGGATTGTGATATATATAATTGGTGTTTGTATGTGGGGTGAGGGGCACAAGGGGGGGAGATAATATTTTAACAACCAAATCAACCAAATGTGTTTTTCTTTTAAAGAAATACCTTTTTTCTTTTTTCTTTTTTTGATTCCAAAGAGGAAGGGAGAGAGAAATAGAAACATCAATGATTATGAGAATCTTTAATCGGCTGCCTCCTGCATGCCCCCTATTGGGGATCAAGTCCGAAACCTGGGCATGTGCTCTTGTCTGGAATGGAAACTGGGACCCTCTGGTCTACAAGCTGATATTCTATTCATTGACCCAACCGGCTAGGGCCAAATTGGTTCTTTAGTGACTCTTGTTTTTCACATGCACCCTTGCCTTTAAGTCTAAATGATTGCCTCTGCTTATATTAGGGACTATAAATCCTTATAAATATTTGAGCTCTTTTGTTTCTAAAGCCAATTACTTGATTCATGCCTTTCCCCGCCCCCCCCCCCTTTTTTTTCTTTCCAATCTAGCAAACTGCCTGTTATGTCTTTAATTTTATCTGTTTTGGCATGTCTTTACTTTTTCCTGTCCCTTCCCAAATAAAATTATGGAGCATCTGTTATGTTTGCAGCACTCTTATAATGGAATTTTGCATCCTCATGGCTTTTTGTTATTAGATGCTAGACATTTTAATACCCCAGGGAGGAAAGTAAATGTCAGGGTTATTTGTTCCATGAATCTCTGGATTGCATGCAGAGTCATTTGTAAAGGTCTCCTTATAAGGCCCCTAAACATTTTCTCTTGACTGTTTAATTTATATTGTTTTCCCTATGTGACATGTCCTGTTTCAGTGCTTTATAAATATTAACTCATTTAACTCTTATTAAGATAAAGAGCAAGGGAAAAACATAAAAACTTTCGAATGTAAGGCTTTTTCTGTGATGGCACCTAAAGACTTAACTGTCTGGTTTTGGTTTGGTGGAAGTCTCATCACAATCTGCCCTTGCTGTCACTTTTATCTTTATCCTGTCTGGGAAATTATAATGGACTGACCATTATCTCTCTATCCCAGAGGATGATTTTCCTCCCTGTTGCTGTGCAGAGCTGGTTATTTATCTTATAATCTTACAGATAAAGAACAATTGAGAAGTCATTAAGGGAGATTAGTCAGAGTACAAAGAACCTCTAATAAAATTATGAAAATGAAATATACTTTCTAGTATTTTATTTATCTTAGTACTTTCTCCTGAGCATTGTAAACTTTCCAAAGTGAAAGACTTCTCTTAGTTTTGGGATAACGCCATTTAAAAAATGGAAAGAAAGAAAAGTGATTATTGCTGAAAATGATGAACCTTTCTTGTCAAAGAAAGGAGGATTTTCTGAAGATGTGCAGAAATACACAGGTTTAGCACCTCCCATAATATTAAAGCCACCAAAAGGATAATGTCTTCTTGGCCTACTCATGATATCTACTTTCTTTATTCTGAATTGTTATGGTAGGACCAACATATCACTCCAGAGACTAGCTGTAAACTAATATGAGATGGGATCTGCTCTGGGGTTGAGAGCTAATATTTATTAGTTCTAACTTTCCAAGAGTAGGCTACTGAGAGTGAACTCAGAATTGCTGTTTAGAATGGTACCTAATGTCTTATGAAATTCTTACCTCTGAATGTGGCAGACCTATATTAGGTAGTTATTTTACTAACAGAAGCATTATGTATTGCTTATCCTATCTAATAAAAGGTAATATGCAAATTGACCCTCCTACCATTGCAAATATGGTGGCACCCACTGCCAATAAGGAGGGGATATGCTAATTGACTCCCCCACCCTCAAAGATGGCAGTGCCCACGACCAATAAGGAGGGAGTATGCTAATTGACTGTCAAGCCCTCAAAGCTGGCGGTGCCCACAGCCACAAGATGACAGTCCCCAGTTCCTTTGGCTCCACTGGGGCTTGCACCTGCCTCCAGAGTCACCCAGTTCCCCCAGCTGCCCAGGGCCGCCCAAGTCTCAGGTAACCAGGCCCAGCAGAGGCTTGCACTGCTGGCAGTGGCAGCAGCAAAGGTGTGATGGGGGGGCCCCTTCCCCTGAATGCCGGGTCGCCTCCCACTCCCTGAGGGCTTCTAAACTGCGAGAGGGGGCAGGCCGGGCTGTGGGACCACCCCCTCCAGTGCATGAATTTTCACGCACCGGGCTTCTAGTGTGTACATATCAGAAGAGTTTTGTGGGAGGAAAAGAGTTTGAGATGCCTCTGAGTCATGCAAATAGAGATGCCCAGTAAACAAGTGCATGTATGCATTCATAGGTGGGGGTTGGGGAGCTAAATGGAGGGATGGTATTCACAAGATTGTGTCGATAGGATGTGTAGCCATGTGGTAGATCTCTTAGGAGTTTGGGAAGGAGGGAGAACGGATGTTGTTTGAGGCCAGGACAGTCAAGAGCCAACAGTTTGCCAATATTGCCTTCTGGTCTTAGAATATGTGAGAGGTGAGAACAGTCTTCATTTGAGAGAGAGCTGCAAGAAAGTCAATATCTTTGGGTGGGATCCAGGTTTAGTCAATGGCAAGGCAGTAATAAAGAAACTTCTATGAAGAGATTGGGTTTTGAAACTCTATGAAGAGTTTCTTTTTGGGGATTCAGAGAGTTCAGGGAAATCTCTAGGTAGGTTAATGGTAAGAAAATGAGCCTAAAGGGGAGTCTTGAGGATGCAATTAGGGCATTGAGCTGAGGGCATTGGAAAGTGTGGTGGACTGGCCAGCCTGGGTGAGGGGCCCTTGGCTAATCACCCTACCCTCAATTTGGGTGGGAGAGGTGATCAGGGGTAGGGAGGGGCTGGGCAGTGTAGCCATCTTGTGACAGCGTAATGATGTGAGGGTCGATTTGCATATTACTTTTTTATTATATAGGATTAATACTCTTTAAGAAAAATTTCTTTAAGTAACCTTATTCAGTAATAATTTACCTATGGTTCATCATAGATTGATTACTTGAATAATAAAGAGGTAGCCTTCCTTAAATAAAACTTTGTACAGTTCTTTGGAGAACTTTAAGAAGAGAGTAAATAAATAGCCTTTTGCTGCATGATAATAATAGTAGCAGCAGTATTAATCA